ATTATTATTATTATTATTATTATTATTATTATTATTATTATTATGATGATGAAATCAAAGCAAGAAAAAAAAATGACTAGCCTTATTATCCACACGAACGTGACCCACTCGTGTAATGTATCATTTGATAAAAACATGAACATTTATTGCTTTGAAAGATAAATATATTTAGTACATACTAAAACAGTAGATAGCGATGAAGGGGCGCTCTGATTGGCTATTCAAGCTCCAAATATCCTTTGTTGTATGTACACACTCAGTGATGTTGGCGTTTCAAGCAATCTGATTGGTTCGCTATCTCGGGCTAATCAACAATGTACACCTCCGAGCGAGTGGATAATGTGAAAAACAAAATGGCGGGCGTAAACTCGCGTTTCGCTAAAGTTCGCTATCTCGGGCTAATCAACAATGTACACCTCCGAGTGAGTGGATAATGTGAAAAACAAAATGGCGGGCGTAAACTCGCGTTTCGCTAAAGTTCGCTATCTCGGGCTAATCAACAATGTACACCTCCGAGTGAGTGGATAATGTGAAAAACAAAATGGCGGGCGTAAACTCGCGTTTCGCTAAAGTTCGCTATCTCGGGCTAATCAACAATGTACACCTCCGAGTGAGTGGATAATGTGAAAAACAAAATGGCGGGCGTAAACTCGCGTTTCGCTAAAGTTCGCTATCTCGGGCTAATCAACAATGTACACCTCCGAGTGAGTGGATAATGTGAAAAACAAAATGGCGGGCGTAAACTCGCGTTTCGCTAAAGTTCGCTATCTCGGGCTAATCAACAATGTACACCTCCGAGTGAGTGGATAATGTGAAAAACAAAATGGCGGGCGTAAACTCGCGTTTCGCTAAAGTTTCTGAAGCAGAAATTGCCTTTAAACGGCTTCCTTTTAATTTTGTCGAGATCACTCCGTGTGTACATTCTAAAACAATTATTCTTTTCAATCTCGGTGAAGAGTGGCTTTCGGGAATATCTAGCCACTCTTCACTGACCTCGATTTCAAAGAATAATTGTAATTACTCACCCCCGAGAAACTGACGCAGAAGTTGCGCCCGGAAATACTGTAATCCTTTTAGGAATAAATGAGTTAAAATCACCTTTTTTTGCTATATTGTCTCACTTTTTTTTGTATACACTTAAACAATTATTCACCTCAGTGTCAAAGGCTAGCAGTGAATATTTACCTCGCTGTAGTTATCCACCACTAGTCACCTCCACTTTGGTGAATAGTTATTAGATATGCTATAACAACAGATTATCCGCTCTCGATATCCAGAGCTCGACTGACCTCTAGTTCCACCCTGTTTGAAGACACAATATCGTGTGTAGGGGCTGAGAGGAAACTGGTTGTATGATCCTGCTGGTAAAGTTAAGACAAAAGAAATTACTACGACAACCATAAAAATAACTATTTAATAACTACAGCTAAATCGATTTACTTCTGATTAAACTCTACCTTAGAAGATTCTTCTTTGATAACTAATGCGTTTTCGGTAAGCAAAGGGAAACCAGCAACGTCCTCGTATAAACAACTCCATCTCACTTTCCAATTATGCCAAAACTTGCTTTGGTGCAAATTCAATATCCTCCTAACAAAAAAACAAGAGAGCAGACATTTGATTTATTAACTTCTAAATAAAAATGGTTCTGTAACCTTTCGCTTTTGAATGAGTTTACTAAATATTTCACCTGGATAAAACAAGTTTATATGGTGGATTTAAAGCAAATTTTCACGGCAGCAGGAAATAGGTGCACTTGGAACAACTGTCTGCGCAAGGCAGAGGCAACACTGTGGGCACTTATTCACAAAGAGGATTAGGTACGCCTACACAACTCACCTGTTTGTTAAGAGGACCACAACACTATCGTCCTCCTCAGCAATGCTCATGTGGTCCACATAAACATCGTCGTCAAATTGATGTAAACTCTGAGGGGGAGAATGAATGACTATCAATCAAACTCTGATTTCAGATCAGAGAAACTCGGTAAACTCGGTAAACTCGGTAAACTCGGTAGCCTTACGGTTTGCTTGCTGCATCTGAAGTCCACCACCGAATGTACTGAGTTCTTCTCTAGACTCTCTACTCGTAACGCGACATTCCAGCTAAATTTTTTGATGAATTGCTCAACAATAATCCTGAGCGCGAGGAGAATAATAATGTAATCATCATTACCTGTAAGATTCCATTTCCTTGGGCGTCGTGCTCTGAGAAAGGCTTTAAAGGCTTGTGGAAACGGATAATAAAAGTAGAAGTGAAAAAAAAAAATTGTAAAGAAAAAAGGAATTTTTCAATGAGCTTCTATCGACAAAATTAGTGCATAGTTCACATTTATTGCTTTCTTTACCATATTAGAGGCTGTGAAGCGAGGAAGTCTCATCCTGCAGGCGATATCTTCGCCATTCTGTTCAGCTGATCTGCAAAATAATAACAGAGGATAAAACTCAATGATTGTGATTCTTGAGTAGCAATTTCAAAGTCAAGAGGGTCTAAGCAGATAAACATTCCGTGCAGCCTCAGCATGTAATTTCTAGTTAACGCTTTGACTGCTAAGAGTGACTAACATCTAATTTCTCCTTACAATATCACCCCTGAATCACAAGTTAAGGTCACGAGAATAAAGGAAATAATCACCAACTAAAGAAGCTCTTGATTATTGTTTAACAAATTCTCCTTGCCAACACCTTAGGAGATGTATAGAGAACAGTATGGAGAAAACGCCAACTAATTTAAAGGCGTAGAGGGTTAATTAACCCTTTTTGGTGTTTCCAAATCCAATTAGTGCCGTTACGCACTAGAATTTCCCAAAACTCAACCTAAGTGTTGTGTATGCGGTTAAGTTAGACCTTGCACTCCTTATATCGGACAGATAGAACTAGCTTTCCTCAATGTGAAAAGATTAATGAAGTAAAAGATGGCCCGAAAAAGTTATGGATGAGCAAAGAAAGAAAATCACCTTCTCACTCCATCAAGAGTAAAGCTGACCATGTCGATCACCCCTCCAGTTGGACGAGTAAGCAATCCAAGGAGGCCTTTTCCAATTCCTTTGAAAAATCCTTCTACACCCTCCGAACGGGCACCTACACAAACAAATTTTTTTAAAAGGGAAATCGCTCTATTTTTTATTGTGGAAGGGAAAAGTGCGTGCTTCGCAGACGTTTTATAAACCGAAGCCAAAAATGTCACATTGAGCCGCTCTACACCAAATCCTCGTTGAAATATCATTAGCTTAGACAAAATGGCAGATGTATATGTGCACGATCCTTCGCAGTAAAGCACTATTTAAGCAATAGTGAAAATCAGACCTGAAAAAAATTCAGGCCTGTACGGGATTCGAACCACTGACCTCTGCGATACTAGTGCAGCGCTCTACCAATTGAGCTAACAAGCCAACTGGGAGCAGGCCATCAAATTAATTCGACATAAACCCGTAGATGATAAATCAAACAACAAACATATGAAATACATATATATGAACTGCGGTTATGAAACGTATATGTGCACGATCCTTCGCAGTAAAGCACTATTTAAGCAATAGTGAAAATCAGACCTGAAAAAAATTCAGGCCTGTACGGGATTCGAACCACTGACCTCTGCGATACTAGTGCAGCGCTCTACCAATTGAGCTAACAAGCCAACTGGGAGCAGGCCATCAAATAAAGGATCGTGCACATATACGTTTCATAACCGCAGTTCATATATATGTATTTCATATGTTTGTTGTTTGATTTATCATCTACGGGTTTATGTCGAATTAATTTGATGGCCTGCTCCCAGTTGGCTTGTTAGCTCAATTGGTAGAGCGCTGCACTAGTATCGCAGAGGTCAGTGGTTCGAATCCCGTACAGGCCTGAATTTTTTTCAGGTCTGATTTTCACTATTGCTTAAATAGTGCTTTACTGCGAAGGATCGTGCACATATACGTTTCATAACCGCAGTTCATATATATGTATTTCATATGTTTGTTGTTTAAAATGGCAGATATTAGATCTGAGCCCGCGAAAAAGCGGTTTGTTTAAAGATACACGGAATCGAGGCACTTAGGCCAAAGGCTTTGTAAATTCTCAAAGGTTTCACTGTATATTTCAAAACAACTCGCATTTTACGCTAATTTTATCGACAATCTGAAGCATTCAAAAGGCAAAGATAGCAATGGTTAGACATTGTATTGCATTCGGATGCAACAACCGGAGCGATAAACCCCACTGCAAACATCTTGGCCGGAAAGTCATCATCAATCGAGCGTCTTTCCTTCGGAGCCTTCCTTTTGGTTTTCTGCTCGGAGAAACTGAATATTGTCGGAACTGAGTCTGACTTAAGACTTACTTTCCGGCCAGCATATGACTTGGAAAAGTCTTCCTTCTCAAAATGTTCACTGCATAAAAGGAATTTTTACTTAAGGGCGTTTTTTCCCGTTTAATCTTGACTAGCCAAGTCGCCAGAAGTTTCTTGTTGCTCAGTGGCAGTAAATGCCACGAAAGATGCTTGCAATGTGGTTTATCGCTCCGGTTGTTGAATCCAAATGCAATTCAATGTCTAACCATTGCTATCTTTGCCTTTTGAATGCTTCAGATTGTCGATAAAAGTACAAAAATGGCGTAAAATGCGAGTTGTTTTCAAATATACAGTGATACCTTCGAGAATTTACAAAGCCTTTGGCCCAAGTGCCTCGACTCCGCGCATCTTTAGACAAAACCGCTTTTACGCGGGCTCAGATCTAATATCTGCCATTGAAGGTGGTTCTGAAATCACTGAACATATTTTTTACATTGTGCTAGAAAGAAGAGTATTGCCATGCTGATTGCAATCTAGTAGTGATTTAAAAAAGGGGGATCATCGACCTCGAAACAAGTTTTTCATCTGACGTCGCGGACGTTAAATACTAGAACGTATTCAATGATAGGCACGAATAATTTATTTCTGAGCAAGCCTCGTTGTAACCAGCGAAACAGTTACACTACCCCGCATTTACCAATTCAATTCAACGTGAAAATATAAAAATAAAAAACAGAAACTTACCCTTTACGGGTTTTACAACTACACCGGACACTCCAAAGAAAAGACCCTGAGAAGGAATCAAAATGAACGAGTCAGTCCGTCTGACAAGCCACTGTGATCATCTTCTGGGTTTTAATGTCTTTTTGTTTGTCTTTAAGTCTACATTTGAGATTGACTTGCATCAATGCCTGTCAGATCTTATTCCAGTTGTCCTCGCAAGTCTCCCCCCTGTATTCGCTCTGACGAAGGGCTAACGCTCGAAACGTCCGCTTCGAAACTCTTCGCGGTACCGTAGCCAATTTTACATTAACGAGCCAGTTGACAAAATCTGAAAATCCCCCAGCATCAGTTTTGTCAGGATGCTCTGGCGGCTCGGCGTTATCGACAAAACACGAGTAATAACCACCATAATTTGAGTTTCGATTCTCTCCGAGATGCTCAAAAGATACGCAAATTCAACTTACCATCAACAGACTCTTTCCTCCCATTAACAGTCCCTGACCAACACCTTGAGGTTGTCTGTGCATGCGCAGACGTCTTTGCTAAAGCACAAAAAATAGAGCACGTTCTTAAATGACAGCTCCGCAATTCGTTCCACGATGCGCGATAGCTAATAGCGAAAAGATCACTGTTTCCTGGTAATACGTAATGAGTACAGAACTTAACACTGATTGAATTGTTTGTTTGCTTCCCACTCTACTCCAAGCAGATGCAATAGCTGAACTACCGACTTACCATCTGAAAATTTGAGTCAAACGTAAGCGTGGCCACAGCCTGACCTAATGAACCCGTTATCCGCGAAAACGCTCCAGCGGTTCCGCCTACGAAAAAAAATAAATAGCAATCGAAGTATTGATAACAATATAAACCAACATTCATTTCCTCTCCTCGGCTTTCATAGTTCCCAGTGGCCTGACCTGCAGTTACTTAGTGCTCATCTGAACGCAAGAGAGTTTGCACTAAAAACAAAACAAAACAAAACAAAACAACACAAAAACAAAAGCAAAATACCAAGTATGCCTTTACGGTTAAATATCGTGACAAAAGACAAGGGTCCGTGAAGAAACTGAAGACGTCATGTCCGACGAGTTTCGTTCTGCTAATGACCAAATTTTTCCAATAAAACTATGAGTCATTTTAAAAAGACCTTAAATAATCTTTCTATAGTCGAGTAGAAAACTGAGTCACCCGACGAAAAATTTAAGAAAGCCACTCTAACACAAAATCTAATGAAACTAGGTACTGCGCTTCAGTTACCTATCACGTGACCCAGCAAGCTCTTGACACCACGAGCTACACCTTCAGCAAACTCTCCTGGCCCTGCAATGATACCCTGATAAAATAAAAAAATAATAATAACATGTCAGAATTTCGTCTACTTTTGGTCCTTTCTAGTTTAAAGAACAAAAAATCCCAGCTCACCTGATAGGGCTCATAAAACAAGTCCCTAACTCCCTCGCCAATCCCGTGAATCAGTGCGTAAGGGTTGCCAAGCACATCAAGGCCCAATACAAGAACATAAACTTGGCGAACACCCTGCAAGATGAATAGAACAGGGTTTACTCTAAAGCGCGGCTTAACAGGATTTCCGAAATTTCAAAAGAAGGGCCCCCCTGAAACTTACCTATAAGCGTTCAATGTGGCGCAAAACATTGCACTCAAGGATAATTTTTTTTTAAAGCACAATTATTCTTAGAATTAAGTGTTCGAGAAAATGACTGACAACAAGATTGATAAGAGAGCTACCATATAGCCTCTTACTGCGTCAGTTACCCTCCTCTTCTTCGTTTCCTCACCGACTAAACTCTACAAATACGTTCAAATACCTTTTGGGATATCCTTGAGCCCTATTCTTGAAAAACCGCCCACAAAAAGTAAATTTTTCGAATGAGCAAATAACAATGACATGCAACGATAGGCACTAAGAAATACGTTATTTTCTTACTGAGAGTTGTGTTAAATATTTACCTGCATGGTGTAATGCCGCGTGATCTGAGCAACAAGATTCTCTTGGGTCAAAAATGCACTGACTCGCTCGAAATAAGCCATTCTGTAGGTAAATTGATAGAATAAATTATATGTGCAACTAAAGAAAAATGCAGAGAAAAAATTGTGTATATCACCTAGTCTTCACCTCCTCCCACAATTTGAAACATAGGCCTCGTCAACAACAATGCTTTTTCACTTGTAAAAGTACACTAATTGATTTGTTCGTGTCCACATTGAAGGCTCGAAAACTGGACTTTTGCAAACATAGGGTTCTAAAAGCGTTCCGTCTTCACTAAGGACAGATGGATGGTTTTTAAATCGATAGAGTAAAACAGCAATACATACCATCGCTATCATCAGCCGGATTTTGGCCATTTAACGTGAAATAAAAGATTTTGGACACTGGTGTCTGATTTTAGACGCTAGTGTCCGGTTTAAGACACCGATGACCAATTTCGGACACATGTCCCATTTTACACACTACTGTTCAATTTTAGACACTGATGTCCGAATTTAGACACAAGTGTCCGATTTTAGTCACTAGTGTCCAATTTGGACGCTGGTGTTCGCTTTAGGACACTAGTGTCCCATTTTGTACACTAGTGTCCTATTTTGGTCACAAGTCTCCGATTTTGGACTCCAGTGTCCGATTTTAGACACTATTGTCCAATTTTAGACACTATTGTCCGATTTTAGACGCTATTGTCCGATTTTAGACACTATTGTCCGATTTTAGACACTATTGTCAATTTTAGAAACTAGTGTTTTTAAAAATTTGGACGATTATGTCCAATTTTGGACACTAGTTTCCGATTTTAGACACTTATGTCCGATTCAGTTTAAAATATACCAAAACGATTGTCTTACTTCAGTTCAGCATCATTAATTTCTGTGAGTGTCGCCCCAATGGAGTCAACAAAGAAATCCAACAAGTCTCGAGCAAAAGCTTGATTCTCATCGTCCTCATCAGAGGAAGATGCCAGTGAAAAACTGAGATTGATCTAGTAAAGAACAGTTTTAGTTACTTCATTGATAATGTTATTCAACATATAGATTCTACTTTTCCGTAGTTCTGTTTAGAATCGCATAATTGAATAAAATCCCGCATTCTGATTGGTTAAGGAATCGAGGCATTTAGAGTGGAATTGCGAGTTGAAAACGAGGCTAAGTGATATTGCATTAGTTTCGCATCCCTTATTTCGCGCTTAGGATAAAAACAAACAATGTTATTGTTGTTTTATTTTTTACTGATTTTTATCCAATTGTGCAATTCAAGGAAAATCCATTACCTGACACGTGAAGTACGTGAATTCCCTGAAAGCCGATACTGCATTAATCGCTTCGCGAATCGTGCGACATCGTTTTTCTCGTGCAATTTAATGCGGAATTCCCACGTCAGGTAATGAATTCCCTTTAGTTTTAGATCACAAATGACGTCAAACGTGGTAAGAACAAGCTCAGAGTGCTACTGATGTCCAACGCATCAGGAAGTACAGCGCATGAGGAAAAGAGGCTAATTGAATCCAAAACGAGAGAACAATGCAATAAAAGGTAAGTACTTCATTTTGTTATCTTATCATTCATAACTTAGTTGTGGTGCTTTATAACTAGCAACACCTTGGTTGGCCACAGACAGGTCCTTTTAATAAAGATGATTCTATATTATTTAATCACAACTGTCGGGTCTTGGCAAGATCAATTAACTAACTGTAAATACTAGTAAATAATTATAATAAAAGCGACAACTTATGACTAATAAAAAGTGAAAGCGACAAACCTTGAGAGGCGACAAATGGAAGTATTCGAGGAAAACTTTTTGCGTCTCCAATGCGGCCTGCAGTCATAATATTGGTTTAAAGGTTAAAAAAATTTCAAGGAGAATCAATTATGACAAACTCGTGTACTTTCAACTTATGGTCACTATGTATTGGAGATATTTTATATTAAGTTTCCAAAGTAACCCCAGGTTGAAGTGAATTTACAACTATTATGTTGTGATTGGTGCAGAGGCGTTACACCACCCTCCAAGCCAGTCAGGAACAAACCTAATCTAATCCCTTTTCGGTCACAAGTATTTTCCAGTGCTGGAGGCATTTACATGTGTTTACAAGTACTTCTCGATGGTTCTTCGTGATGTTTAACTGTTGTACTTTTGGATTTAAGCCCACTCAATGGAAACGTGTAAGAGTTCAACCAACCCACTAGACTTTCAACTCTGTTTACATTATTAACACGGGCAAGAACTCAGCCAATACAAACTTTTACTGCTTTCGTTTCCCGCAGAGGCATAGCACATCGTTTCATGTCTTCTTCGAAATAATTTTCCTATCACGAAAACAAAATACTCGCGTCAATCAACCAGTGAAAGACGGTAAAAAATAAACGGGACCTGATGCAGATTTGATTTATACACAAGTCCAGAGAAGTAAGTACGATGCACGATCCTCGCAGTAGAGAGCGCTATTTATGCAATAGCGAAAATCAGACCTGCAAAAAATCAGGCCTGTACGGGATTCGAACCACTGATCTCTGCGACACTAGTGCAGCGCTCTACCAATTGAGCTAACAAGCCAACTGGGAGCAGGCCGTTAAGAGAAGTAAATTACTGAAAGAACCCGACACTTTGCTTCCTCTACTTTTCCAATCCATTATTTTAACTCGAACAATGCTTCTCACCTCTTCTAGAAGTTCTTTCTGTTGACTGAAAAGGCTTGCCATCGAAATAATGAACCCTTTATCAATTCTCACATTCATCTCCTGTACCAATGCTTTGGCGTATCTGCAGATTCAAATAATGATAAAAATTATTAGAAGTCCGGGTTCGAGACATGGTCGGGTTAATGTGTTATGTTCTTGGGGAAAATTACTTTTCTTTCACGGAAAGCACTAGGTAATATTGCTTCAAACCTTGTAAGCCCCCGATATTCCTGACCCTAACTCAAACCCCAACCCAAACCCCTTACCGCTGGAATATCTCGAGCTCACATGGTTTGAAGCAGTGTTACGTAGTGCTCTCCACAGTGCCTCACTCCACACAGGAGTACAAATGGGTACCAGAAAATTGTCAGTGAAGCCTGATGCTGGGGTGGGAGGGGAGGGGGGGTAATCTTGTGATCCCCATCCAGGGGATAACAGTAATACTCCTAGTCGCTTCATGCCAAGGAAACCGTCGGGATAACCTCCGGCTGGGCGAGCCACATGGTTCTAGTACAGACTTACCCAACACCGAACGTTCTTGGACGGCTCAAGCAACACTGCACTTACTTTATGTGATGCATTCCTTCTTTTGGGACTTGATGATAAATCACTGACACTTCAATGAAAGGTTTGAATCCTGAAAGAGTAAATTGTCGTTAAAGGGATACGCTATGCACAGAAAGTATTAAGGTAACACACCTGAATGCCTTATGCTATAGTATGTACATCGACAGTTATCTTCATACTGAGGGCTTCTGCTCTCCTGAAAACATTCTGAACCTCACACGTTGTTTGGATTTTTCGGTGTAAAACTTCTACATGAAAAAATTGAAGCATGGAAAGGAAGAGATCGTCTCAAGTCACTTAGGAGAGACAACCTCGTCAAAAAGCCATCTACTGGGAGATGAAGACTCTTTGATCGACGTATTACATAAATATTCAACATCGTTTCACAATCAAAACTGAAGACAGTGGAGCAAATCGTAAAATATCCTCAAACTAAGAAACAAAAGCACTCATCAGCACTTTAATTTCGCCAGGTATTCAGCGCGCATAGTTGAGGAATGCCATGGTATTCACTTGTCTGATGAATAACGCATCTGGTCGCAGTTGCGATGAGCGCGAACGTCGTAGACATTTTCCAGTATCACATAATGGCACGCAAGGCAGCCATACTTACCTGTCCTATGAATGATGGCGGAAGGTAACGGTGATGGATAAAGAGCAACTGGAAAAACCGTACTGAACTGCTGATTATCAATCTGAAATAAACAAAACAACGGATAATGTAGAGATAAGGTGGATCATATTGGCAATATATCTGTGCTAATAATAAACATTGGATAACCTGGGTCTCAAAGCACACGACCAAGGTAAAGAATGATCCCTCAAACAACGGGCTCAGTGTTGAAGTAGGATCGAGAATAAAACGAAAAAAAGCATAGGTTTTAACCTATCAAAAAGCAACTGAAATTGTTAATGATTTGAAAAACAAAATTATCCAGCCGACAAAGTAATTTTCTTTATGAGAAATTAAATTCGGGAGGAAAAATCCTAAAGAAACAAACAGTTGGCGGAGATATCATTCGTCCTCACCTGAATTCGGTGCATTCTGCAGTGTAGACTGTGGTAGCGATCTGATCGGGTGTAATTTAACCACAGAGCAGGTTCAAACAATCTCTGAAGGGCCCCGTTATATGGGCGAGTCATAGTCATTGTATTAAAGTTCACCTGTACAGAGTCAACAGAGAGATTCACTCGTTCAAGCTAACAAAAAAGAGCAGATATTGAACATATGGTATTTGTCTGTCCATCGCATTTATCACAAGCGTGGAACAACGAAGTATTTTGAATTCCTTGTGAGGACGTCAACCACAGCTAATTTCGAGTTTGCAGTGAGATGTTCTAAAGACTGATGGCCAGGGGCCAGGCAATAAACAACTAAAATGTGATTAAGATATTTGTACATTGAAAGTAAGGGTAATATTTCTTTAAATGTTTTTCTGGATTAAAGAAGTGTTAGCGAAATCAGAGCTAAGGATGGAGTTAAATCTCTCTTTGAGAACTACTGTCAACGACCGCAGTTTCAAAAATGTTTTATTTTACATAAACCTCACCTCCCTGTCTTCCAAGACGACTTCCACGGCGTTATTCCTCCAGGCATCCTCTAACCAAGTGGACAACTCCAGATTCAGGGTCTTCCATCTTCCAGATGTCCCCTCCACCTGCCAGACTGAGGATGAACTGTAAAACGATGCCAAATTAAACAAGGACTGATCAATTAATACCGATTACCTACACAATTAAAATGAGATATAAACCATACCCGTAGACGCAACAGAATATCAGACCTGGTTAGGACACAGGGTTTCAGAAGAGTATTTCAAACCGACTCGTTTAAGTGAAAAAGCCACAATTTCTAACGATAAATGAAGATATTTTCCTCGAGTTCCACCGCATGATAGTTGAAGAGAGCGACCTCGAATCAGCTATCACGTCCTAGAAATCGTGAGCATATACACTTGTTTATATAAACCAACTAGTTGATAACATTTTGGATCCTGTCTGTACTAATCTAAATGAGTTCTACGATTCGCCTATCCAACGTCCTGCCTTTGGTCTGTCCGATCATTATTCCATCGACGTCCAGCCCCTTGAGTGCTCAAAACAACCCAAATTCAAGATCACGAGAATATCTAGAGATTTGAGACCTACAAAACGATTGGCAATGTGTACATATCTGGAAGAAGTGGACATCCAATCATAGATTGAAAGTGGTCGAACTTGTGAAGATAAAGTAAAAACACTGGAGAACATTGTTAACAGTTAACACCGGTATTAATTTTCTTCTCCCGTTAAAAAAGAAGACCATTCATCTTAATGAGCCGGCCTGGGTAAACTGGAAGTTAAAGCACCTCATTAGTCAGCGTCAGAAAGCACTTGCCCATGGAGACCCTGCAAAATATCGCGCCTTCAGAAATCAGGTGAATTGGGAAAGAAAGTCTTACCGAGCCAAATTTTATGAGTCTAAGGTCGAACACTTGGAAAAGGGTAAGCCAGCTACTTGGTGGAGCGAGGTAAAGAAATTAAGTGGAATGTCAACATCTAAAGACCCGGACCCGGAACCGGAACTGGACCCGGCATCTTTGTACCAACACATCGATTGCGGACAACCAACTTCTTCGCGCTCGTTCAACGATGTCGCCAATGTCATCAATTCTGCCTTTCTGTCCGTAATGAGTGGTTTTGATCCTCTTCAATCCAACACCGCTGAACAACTACCTAATGAAGCTCCTCTTATTCAAGTGTCCACCCTGTCTGTCTTAAATAAACTATCATCTCTAAATACGAATGATGCACGATCCTCGCAGTAGATAGCGCTATTTATGCAATAGCGAAAATCAGACCTGAAAAAAATCAGGCCTGTACGGGACTCGAACCACGGACCTCTGCGATACTAGTGCAGCGCTCTAGCAATTGAGCTAACAAGCCAACTGGGAGCAGGCCGTTAAGTTGATTCGTAATAAACCCGTGAAAGTGATAAATGAGATACAATGAATATATGAAGTTCATATATTTTGAACTGCGGTATTAGATACGTATGATGCACGATCCTCGCAGTAGATAGCGCTATTTATGCAATAGCGAAAATCAGACCTGAAAAAAATCAGGCCTGTACGGGACTCGAACCACGGACCTCTGCGATACTAGTGCAGCGCTCTACCAATTGAGCTAACAAGCCAACTGGGAGCAGGCCGTTAAGTTGATTCGTAATAAACCCGTGAAAGTGATAAATCAGATACAATGAATATATGAAGTTCATATATTTTTCAACTGTGGTATTAGATACGTATGATGCACGATCCTCGCAGTAGATAGCGCTATTTATGCAATAGCGAAAATCAGACCTGAAAAAAATCAGGCCTGTACGGGACTCGAACCACNGTGGTTCGAGTCCCGTACAGGCCTGATTTTTTTCAGGTCTGATTTTCGCTATTGCATAAATAGCGCTATCTACTGCGAGGATCGTGCATCATACGTATCTAATACCGCAGTTCAAAATATATGAACTTCATATATTCATTGTATCTCATTTATCACTTTCACGGGTTTATTACGAATCAACTTAACGGCCTGCTCCCAGTTGGCTTGTTAGCTCAATTGGTAGAGCGCTGCACTAGTATCGCAGAGGTCCGTGGTTCGAGTCCCGTACAGGCCTGATTTTTTTCAGGTCTGATTTTCGCTATTGCATAAATAGCGCTATCTACTGCGAGGATCGTGCATCATGCGTATCTAATACCGCAGTTCAAAAATATATGAACTTCATATATTCATTGTATCTTATCATCTCTAAATCCATCTAAAGCTACTGGACCTGACGGTATTCCGGCATGGCTTCTTAAAGAAAACGCTGACCTTCTTGCTGATCCAATCTCAGAGATTATCAACCAATCTTTTAAAGAACAAAGACTTCCCCGGTCTTGGAAAGAGGCTGACATTGTTCCAGTTCCGAAGCAGAAACCGATCAAATACGTTAACAAACACCTACGACCGATATCGTTAACACCTGTTTTATCCAAGATTGCTGAGGAATATGTGGTGGAATATATTTAACCTGCTATACTTGCAAAGTTAGATGAACACCAATATGGAACGGTCCCAGGGTCCAATACTACCATTGCGCTCATTAGTATGATTCACGCATGGCTGACCGCTACTGACGCAATGGTGCTACTGTTCCGTGTCGTCCTATTTGACTTTCGTAAGGCCTTCGACCTCATCGACCATACGATTTTGATGCAGAAGCTCTCGACTTTTTACCTTGCTAGCGGTATTATTGCTTGGATAAAAGATTTCTTAACGGACCGCAGACAACGCATCAAGGTCGCCCAGGAATGCTACTCTGAAAGTGGGGCAATTCCATCTGGAGTGCCCCAAGGGACTAAATTGGGTCCATGGCTGTTTACCATCAATGATCAACGACCTCTCTATCATCGGTGTTCCAATATGGAAGTACGTTGACGATACAACCATAGCTGAAACTGTATTAAAGAATGTTATAAGTAAGATCCAGCAGTATGTCGACGACCTGTCCCAACAAGTGTTTGCTGACAAGTTCCAACTGAATGAAGATAAATGTAAAGAATTGCGGATTAGCTTTGCTCGATCCAACAGGGACCTTAAACCAATGAAGGTCAATAACAAGAACATTGATTGTGTCAGCAGAGCCAAAATTCTTGGCGTAACCGGAGCAAACGATCTTAAGTGGAATGATCATGTGGATGAAGTTACGAAGAAAGTTAACAAGCGTTTATACTTTCAGAGACAACTTAAACGAGCCCAAGTTAAACCAAAGGAACTTACAACCTTCTACACCACGTGTATTCGATCAGTGATGGAATATGCATGTGCATTATTTCATGATAGCTTACCACAATACCTATCCAATGACCTGGAGCAATGTCAGAAGCGTGCCTTGCGCATTATTCATCCGGACAGAAGTTACGAGCAAGCACTGGATGAAACTGGCTTGGCAAAACTATCGGAGAGGCGCCAGATGATTACATGTGAACTATTTAAGGAAGCAAGCAGACCAGGACACAAACTGAACAAACTTTTGCCTGCCGATAATAACTGCCATTACAATTTAAGGAAGAAAAGAACATTTAGTATAACCAAGTTTTCAACTAAAAGAACACAATTAAGTTTTCTTAATAACAATGCAAGGAAGGCTAGCACCGTTTTATAATAAAAATTATCTTAGTTATGAACATGTAATTATGTGATATATTTGATTATTTAACTTGTCGTCTTTTATACACTTACATATACATAATATATATAGGTATAGATTATTTTTTCACATTTTAAATACATTTTGTAATTTTTTTTTTGTCTGGTTTTTATATATATCTTTACTTAGTATTGTAACAATAACATAATTCAGCCCATCGGCTGCTAAATTTTTTAATAACGCCATCTATCTATCTATCTATCTAAAAACGTAAAGACAAGTCCATCTTTTCACCACTTTTTTTTTTTAACCATTTGACTCCCATGAGTGATCAAGACAGAATTTCTCCTTACAATATCAATACAATATCATGCAGACAAGTGATCGGAACAAAGAAAAATATCAAACACCAAAATCTCCGAACTCACAGTATAGGAATTGAATGGAAGTCAGTAAGAAGAATTACTAGGAGAAACTTGGGCGTTTAAGGGTGTAACACAACACTGCTTGGCTTCTCACTTCGCTCCCCATCTACTGCTGAATACATTGCGAGTAGCTTAGCATTTGTGGTAGAAAGTTCGTAAATTTATACAAATTTGAGTAATTTTGAAACAGCATAACGATTAAAATAAAAGTTTGCTGGTGTGGATGAACATCAAAGGGTTAAGAAATAAATTAAAGAGGATGGCGAAGATGAAAAAAAAAATTGTAAATGATGAAAGTGAAAAGTTTGAGATGAAGAAAGAGAGAAGAAGCATTACCTAGATAAAGTTATGTATGCCACTTCGTCAGGTTTGCTGTTGACCAGCGACAAACCGACACCATCCAATGACATGAAAATATCCATGGTAACAACTTCAGAGTCACAACACTAAAATTATAAAAGGGGATTGCAATAAGTTAATAAGATAAAAGAGCACATTTTCTTCTGAACCTTAAAAAGCTCCCCGGGCGATTTCCTTCATTTTTGAACCCAATTCTATTTGTTTTGTGATTACAAGAGAATGCGCTTGTTTCTAATTCAGTTTTTCTAACCTTCCGAGCCAGACATGAAAGATTTTCATCATCAGCAAATATCAGCACCCTTTGCAGTCCGTCCGTCACAGACACCCAGTAGATAGTCTTCTTGACCCTGTGAACCACCGCCCCATCCACAGTATCCCACTCCTGATCGATTTCTTCAGGTACAGCGCTTGACGAGCCGCATAGCAATCCACATGTGCTGTCTCTGTCTTCCAGCTGACGCCGGTCATCTTTGACTGGTGGAGAGATTTCATCGAGTTCCATTCGAATTTCGCCGAAGTTATCCTACAAATTTAAAATAAGTAGAATAGAAGCTTAGAATAGGGGTGGATGTAGAGAGGTACGTACCATTCAGCGAACCGTATTAAACTATTGCCGATTAATGCCTCTCTACTGGACAATTCAACTTCAAAATGGGTTGTTCCTTTGCTAAAAGTGAAGAACCTGGAAAAGAACCTTTTGGAAACTTATAAGAGCGCTACCTTCATACGGCTGCTGAATTACATTAGAATTTCGAGACATTTCCTTGAGAATTTTAGCAGGAATTACAGAAAGATACAAGTATTGCTCTTCTGTACAAATCTGCAATTCTACAGTAAAGACACTTAAACTGGATCACATCGTGTTCAATTAAAATTCTCGCAAACATAAACAGCATCAAAAAAGGAGTAACTGTCAGATACAGCAGGGTTGTCGGTAAGCCCCGGCAGCCGGCGAAATTCGCAAGCTGAGAAAGAAGCAGTCACCGGCTGAATTTTCGCTGGTAATCGCTCGACAGGCGACGAGTCTCGACCCTTTACAGTTTAAGTGAAAAATAAAAATAACTTGCCGTTTGAAAACAAAAAGGTCAAAATAAATACTGAACTACATCTAAGACGCAGAATTATTTAAGGTGAAATGAAGTGTTGCTTTGAATTCACTGGTCGTAACTGATCTGTGGTCTCTCTCTGTTTCGGATCGCCATTTTGTAAACTCAAAGCTTGGTAGCCCCGCAGACAAGATGTTGTAAACGACTGGACACAGTCGGCTGAATGGCTTCCTCAACCGGCAGGCCCTTTTCTTCGTTATAACACTAGATACATAGAAAATTTATATAAAATTACATTTTCTTAAGATTTTACCTCATCAACTTGAGCCTCGATTGGCTTATCCATTCCCTTGAACGGTTTCCAGAGCAGTTTTCGCACACCTAATGGATCATCCCAAGTATAAAGGATCATCTGCTTAGAGTCAAGCACCGTCACCTGCCCACAGCCTCTGAAAGTTATTTGCACTCGATCAGAAGATATTGCGAAACGAGAAAAAGAGGCATTTGTTTCTTTAAAAATAGAGATATCAGTAAAACATTATCGTTCACCCGCAGCACTTAAGTCAACCGTTGTTTGTGCATCGGAAGATATGAAAATCAAAGCAAAATGTAAGGAGGAAGGCACTCTCCATTATCTCACACGACTTGCATTCACAAAGAGAGGATCTCCAAAATCGCATTGGCCTACAATACCAGGTTAGCTTTCAAAAATATGGACATAAATATAATGCTACGTACGTGTTGCCACCACACTTACTTTTGATGAAACCGGATCGGAATATCGTCACACAGGTTCTCAATCCTGACTGTTGCAATTCCAGGCGAGTAAGGTGACACCACTACAGTTGTCACGGCATCTTCGACCTCCCCATGAACGTCAACAGTGAGAGCCTGCCAATCCGGAATCCGAAGAACTGTCGTGTGCGAGGAGTCGAAACTGAAAGGCTTCGAAATGACCTTTGACATTGTTGGCTTCAACATGATTGAACTGGACTTGTCACTGGGCCAAAATGGTTTGCTCTAAAAACGAAAGCATATGCAAACGGTTGTTAAATTTGTATTCTCAACAAAACCGAAAAAAAAAAGGTTCGTAACAGATTGATAATGATATCAAAGATCTTCCGTTGTACTCTCAACAAAGCCCCGGTGGCTCGAAGGGTAAATAACGCAATCCGCTGCATGAAGAGTTCTCTATCTCTAGTGGATAGTACAGTAGGGCTTATTAACACCTGTGTATTACGCGCTCATTAATAATCTCGGCCCTGAATCTCTCACTTGCCAGAGAAAAAAATATGCGATACATTTTTGACAAACAAGAGGTGTTTCAGTTACTCGCCTACGGGACAATTAGCTGGCACTAAGATAAATCTTCCCAGCTAAAGACTAACCTACAACAATCTCATCCCTTCATCTTCCAGTTATAAATGAAACGCAAAAATAGTTGTCTGTGGTTTTTTTATTTCAAAAACTGCAAAGAAAATTGTGAAGCAATGAGCGCCACGATCTGAAGTAATTTACTTACTTCTCCAGGCTCCACAACAAACCACAAAGCCTTTTTACATTTATTTTCGATAAAAGAGTACGAAATCTGCGAAGAAAAAGTTCAGAAAGGACATTAGTAATAAAGAATAACTAACAGACTTGTACGACCATTACGTGAAACATGCGCCCCTCTCGATTAAGCGTCCCCTCCTCCCTCACTTTCTTACATGAGTAGGGACTGGATACAAAGAAACCCTGTTTCTATTGTCGCTTTATTCATAACTTTTCAAGCTTCAACTACAGTGGAATCAGTGCAGGAGAATGGTTTCTCTTTCAATAGGTCACTTCCAGTGATTTCTATCTACATATCGACTTTACGTCTACGTGGACAATATTGTAATTTTAATTTTGTATAAAAGATTGAGCCTAAATAAAGTTACAGTTCTTGAAAAGAAAACTTAATAAGTGCCACCCTCGATTAGGCGCCCCTCCCCCCCTCCCCCAATGAGCGCCGAGGTATAGAGTAATAGGGTAATGTAATAGGGTAATAGGTATAAGGTAATTCGGTATAGGGTAAGGATTCGAGGAACTGGGCGACCTTATCCCTTCCACGAACTCAAACAACTAGCCCCTACTCCCCCGGCAATGAATATCACATACCTCCGTGCTGTTAATGATGACGTATTTCGGGGTTAGCGTTACAACCTTTGTCAGCCCTGTCCTGGACATTTCAATTTGTAGGATAAACTGGAACAGTGAGACAAAGGGTATAAAACAAAATGAATAATAATAATAATAATAATAATAATAATAATAATCAAAGTTTAATGTCTTTACGTGGGGCATGGTTACCCATATTGCCCGAGCCAGAGGCTCATGTATGAAACGCAAAACAACAACCCACCCATCCCACCCCAGGGGAGGACATCCATCACACAGTAATCTCGTGCGTGGGAAATTAACGTCTCCTACCCCTAACCCTGCAGGAGACGGGACCTCCATTTATTCGTCCCTATCCGAGAAGACTAGAATATCTAAACCATTTCTTGATGTTATAGAAAGGCAGCATATTCTTCTCAATTATTTTAAGACCTTGAGTGTTGGTCCGGCCGGGGCTCGAACCCTCGACCTCCCGCACATCAGTCCAGCGCTCTATCTATTGAGCTAACCGGGAGGCGGTTAGAACAAATAGGGAGTGAGATCAAAATAAATATGACTACGATATTGACTGGGCGTGAGGTCAAGATATTGTTTATTGGCCAGGTTCCCGGCCTCTTTCTCTCAAATTCTTCTTAACGTATCTAGAAGCAGGTTGAAGCATTTAAAATCTCTACGGATTTAAGGTGGGTAACCCCGCTTGGAATGCCAACATCGGAACACAGAATTCATAATAATTGTAACAATAAACGACGATACATGTATTCCAAAAACTGACTCTAGTCGTCTCACCTGAAACTTTTTGGACTCGCTTCCTTTGCATGTTACCTTTCCAGAATCTCCAACAGCGTCCAGAGAAAACTTGTTGGACCAGGGATGTCCAGGCAGTCTGAGCCTAGCCTGGGAAGACAAACAAACAAAAATAAAATAACTCCACATTCAACGACAGCTAACATGTCTTTTCCGAAGCATCTTTTTGTCAACTCATGGCTGTTAACACACGATAACAAGGTATACTAACCAAAAATCCGTCGAAGTGCTGCCAAATCATTTGATTTTTGACAGACTTTTTTAAAACTTATTTATACTTTCTGTTGACCGCAAAGCACTTGGTGGAGGAATCAGAGGTTTATCATACTTAACTCCGAATTCACTTCATACTAAGAACCAGGAAAATGTATCGCGGTGTCCGCCACTAGGCCAGTGTGCAGACTGGGCTCTGGTGCAAAACAAACAATAACTGTCTTCAGTTCGGACTTACCTTTCTGTAGGTTTTTTCAGTAAAGTTAAAAAGAAGTGGATGTTGTTCTATAGCAGACTGATTATAAACTTGTTTACATCTCGAGACCTTCGTAAAGAGAAATTGATATAATAATAATAATAATAATAATAATAATTTAATATTTATATTGCGCAAATTAACATGTGGATATGATCAAATTCGAATCACAACACTTTTCGGGGGACTTTGGCCGGACTGCATCAGCAGTTTACAGACAAAGGAAACTTATTTGAAGATGCCCCCTCCCCCCCCCTCCAATTCCCAATAAACAGGCCAGACCACATCACAGTAATCTCGTGAGTGGGTTCTTTAACGTCCCCTGCCTAACCAAATTAACAAATTAATAAATGCAGGAGACGGTGATATTGAAAAGCAAGAGTTACTTATCACCCCTCTGTCGGAAGCTGTAGAAAGATTGGTTTATATCTTACACACTTGGGATAAATAAGGATTTAAACGGATGAGGACAAAAACACCGATTAAAAAAAAATTGAGGTTGAGGAGTATTTCCGGTGTGTAACGCCTTTTGGTTTACTACCACAGTAATGGCTTTCATTTAGCTGTTCGTACTGTTGCACACTTGACATCAACAGTAGCAGGCAGTGAAAATGTATTGATGATGTTAAAAGAACTGAAAAAAATCCGTTGACTTCTTTTACTTACCCTGTACTCCACATGGAGTCCAGTCTTGTTAATAAGCCAGTAGGGGGAATAGATGAACAGCTCCCTTGTCCCTTGTTGGGGCATCGATTTCACTCCAAGCGACTAATAAAAAAATAAAAAATTTTTAAAACTTCGGTGACTAACTATTCTTAATGCAATTTTTCCTCTGAATCGAAGTTAACCATACAAATTGCTAAATGCAGTTGTTTCGATTATTCCTCTCAATCATTTCAAGACTTGAAATTGCACGGTTTCAAAGACTAAATAGATAAAACAAGAGACAGAAGAAGTTATATGTCGATAAGATAGATGAATTATACAACCGTATCTTGCCCAGTTCAGGCTAAAATTGTAAGGCAAGATGGAGAAACACTTTGCAACCTACCAATTCTTTGGAGACGTCTTCCTGTGAACGCATTAGCAATTGACAGGATTTGTACCGTTGTTTCTTCACAAAGATATCTCCCATCCAAGTAGCTTCTTTGTAATCTTTAAGCTTTGCATAGAATGGAAAGAATTGTTAGAATCATTATGTGAGTGTTCAGGCATGGGAGCGTGCCATACATATGCTTGCATTAATCAAAAGAACTCATAAATGAAGGTCACGGCATTGGAACGCAAACAATTACAGTTTCAAATACGCTAAAAAAGCCTCTTTCTAAATTCAAATCTATAAATCTGTACATGCAGTCAATTGATTTCGATCACAGTTTGAAACAAACGAGCACTCTTAGCCGATGAGCGTGTTTAAATAACTGGATGTAACTTACAAATTGATGAAACACGATGACCAGCAAAGACGACCATAAGCATTTTTACCCGAAAGGAAAGCCAAATTACTTTAAAAGTTAATGAAATGAATAACACTCTAGTACCGTAACAGTTATTTTGCAGTCATATCCAGGACACACATTGACAAGAGTTACTTTGTCACCGGCACTGAGTACTTTATCGTCTCCACCTCCCTCCTAGTAAAATAAGGACAAAAATAAAAAAATTATTCAGCTATATTATGTTACCTTGTCGAAAGTCATTCCACCAACCAGGAGAGCGTTCCCAAGGGGTTTCTACTTATTTACATGACTCTAAAATGCCTTCTCTACAAGGAATTTCCTTTTTGGTCACTAAGATTTTTATACTATCAAGGGATGATTATAAACAAGAGGATAACTTACCTCTGTTGATATGACTAGCTCAAATGGAAGTTTATTTTGCACTATTAAGGGAGGGTACAAATGGATCACGTGATGGGGAGAGTCCTCACCAGTTGGCAGTTTGTTCAAGCTGTCTGATAAACAAAGGGCCTGGAGACAAAAATAGTGAATTATAAATCTTACATGCAAGCTAGAAGATCTATTTAAAATGCTTCCATCAAGCAGAACTGTACCTTGATGAAAAAAGTGGAGGAAGACTCTGAAGTGATCGTTGACGAACAAGACAACACATGAGACGGCTCTCCTGTAGAAAACTTTCTCCAGGATATCGAGGAAGATGATATATGAAAACTGGAAGAAAAAATATTATCAAAATCCATCCAAAAATTCAGCTCAAATAATAAACTTTGATCGCTCCTGTTATTTCTGTCGAGGCAAAAAGACGAATGTGTTCCCGTGTTTCCCTTGAATAGCATACCAAGACCACAATAATCAAAATCTACACTTATTTTTGGCCCAAACGATTAAAAAGCCCATACTCTCTTGAGTAGTAGATACCAACATAGCAAATAAGAGGCGGATATTTGGAAGGGGATTCCCCTCGTTCGGAAGCATCGAAACTAAAGCTCCAGAATGAGCTCAAAAGATTCATATAATGCAGTTGTGTCGCATGATATGATGTGAGAGCACCTATCTCATGCGACAAAGTTTAAATCTATTCTCGCAGTTATGTTAAATTTAGTTGGAGTTTAGGTTGTAGTAAGAAGTCCGATACGTCTCGCAGAAGTTTGGCCATGATAAATCTACAAGTATGAGGTGACATGAAATTTACAATTACAAGGATAATTACCGGTTACTTTGCTGATCTAACTTACTCAGTACCACCAGGTTTAAAGAAAAGCTCTTCGTTGTATGCTGTATGTAAAGGGACATTCTGCACACCACCCGATTCCACACTGAAGAGCTTGAAATGATGTTCCTCGCATGACCCCGATGAATCTCGTCGCTTGACGAACACGTCCACTGGGACTTGAAGGTGGTTTTGGATCTACAATAAAATTTCACAAGACTGATATTAAACTAATAGGATTGCAGGGCAAGGCTCCAAAAAAGGGACTTGAAGGTGGTTTTGGATCTACAATAAAATTTCACAAGACTGATATTAAACTAATAGGATTGCAGGGCAAGGCTCCAAAAAAGGGACTTGAAGGTGGTTTTGGATCTACAATAAAATTTCACAAGACTGATATTAAACTAATAGGATTGCAGGGCAAGGCTCCAAAAAAGGGACTTGAAGGTGGTTTTGGATCTACAATACAATTTCACAAGACTGATATTAAACTATTAGGATTGCAGGGCAAGGCTCCAAAAAAATTTCCCGGCTGGCCCATGGTCAAACCTATTTTAGCTCGGACGCAACCCATGTTTGTCCGGACAAATATTCATCATGTCATATCTCAATAAATTCCACCTCTCCCCACCCCCCCTCCCAACACTTAAAAGGGTATATTTGACCAGATATTGTCCGTTGACCGGCTGTTATGTTGAGTCCTACAGTAGCTCATTGTTAGATTATCAACAAAAATGGGAATCGGAAATGTTCTCAGATGTGTTATGTAATAAGATGATTCGCGAGACCAGTAATTTTCGAATTTCCTGCAATTATTACACGCGTTCATGGCAATAATAGGGACCTTAAGCAACCTCGACGGCGACGGCAACGAGGACGTGGAAAAACAAGAGATCAAATTGGCAGAATAATAGCTCAGCACGTGCATTTTGAAACTTTGTACATTTCTAAGCCGTCCTATGCAAAACAACAACGTGAAATCGCCAAAATTTGCGTCGTCTGCGAACCGAAACCGCGACGGCAAATTATTTTAATTTCCATTTGGAACTCAATGCTACTTTTATACGTCATACTGAAGTTGAGCTGTGGAGACGTACGAGACAGTAAGCTCATGCAGCTATTTATGAAATTCTAACTAAGAGTAGAAATTCATTTTTTAATCAAAGTCTTCCTTAGCGTTGCCGTCCTGACTGCTTAAGGTCCCTAACGATTACGACAGTGAGAAGAGTTTATGATGACTCCAAATAGATATTTCAGTAAAATTGATTTCAATTCTTAGGACAGGTTTTAAATGAAACAAGGAATGAGTAACAAAAATACAACAAACATCTCACCTGCAATGGTGACCTAATGGTAACTGTTTTACGACCGCGTTTTATATCTACTTGAACAACGACATACCACTTGTGTTTTGCCTGAAAACAAAAGGGAAAAAATAACGTAACTCAAGACTCAGTGTGACCTACTTTCCTGGCCGCCAGTTGACGACGTAAGATCATAAAATGTTCAGCAGAAATTGAAGCTAGGTCATTAAAAAAAAAAACAAACAATGAAAGATATCGAAGAAAATTGAAAACATTCTGGCTAATATTCGCTTTTGGAAGTTTGCACAACCAAAGGAAAACAGGCAAATTGTTAGGGAGAATTAACAGCATTATATGCA